TCTTCAAAACTGGTCGTCCTCTGTGTCAGTGGTAGTCTAGGCACTACACCAAAGAATCATTGAAAGGTTGATAAAGGAAAACATAGCCTTTTAAGCCCAATAACCCGAACTTCACCAACCAAAGTGGGAAGCCTCAAAAAGCAGTTCCAAGCATTCCCAAGATAACGAACGATGCTTAGCGGATATCCTCAACACTTGTCTCACTGAGTGAGAATATCCGCAGAAGATTAAGAAAGTGTTTGGATCTCTCGAGAACTGCACAGATTTGTTTGTAACGAAGATGTGGTCTTAGCTGTTAAAATAACTCATGTGCTAAGTGCGTAGGTACGTGTCTGCCCATATTTTCTGTTCATCCTCTCTCGGATTTTTGCTCGGCGTATACTCTATTCTCTTTTTTGGATAAGCCGAATTCGCTGAATGGGCGGAATCAACTATCCCCTCAGAAGTGTCATATGGCAAAAGTCCTTTGTGCACCACAGTACTTTCCATACTCTAAGAAAAGTTCGATAATTCGTGCACTTTTTCAAACCTTGTCTGATAAAAATTCACCGGACAATCCATCGTCCGGTTGACAGACCCATTCGGGTCTTCCTTCATGTGAGTGACATCCGATTCCATGTGATTTAATCTCTAAAAGCTCTAAACCATTTACCGTTAAGAAAAACCTATTCCAGTTCATTGCAAGAAAGTCATGCTTGTTCACCAGCTTGCGTTTTCCGTCATTGGTACACAGCCTTTGGTCAGACATGTCCCTCTAAACCTTTTACCGTTAAGAAAAACCTATTCCAATCCATTGCAAGAAAGTCACATGCTTGTTCACCAGCTTGAGCTTTCCGTTATTGGTACACAGCCTTTGGTCAGACATGTCTTTTAAGTGGAGCTGTTTGGGGTTAGTCAATGCCAAAGATTCAACGGCCCCTTGAAGATGAGACAAAACTTCCCGACATATTGTTGTGGTCGGGGGATGGTGACGAGACGTCAGCATGGGTGTTTTGAAATGCTGTGTAGGTATTTGAATTCCTAGCAAGTTAATACAAAACATTATCTCAGTAGAACATAAGTCAGAAGATAAAATAGGCATAGAAAAGCCAACTCACATCTTGATTTGGCTAACCCTATCGTTTTTTTGGGGGGAGAGGGTATATTTTGGAGGGGAATTTGGACTAATGTGACTACGTACATGCACACGCTCTCGATGGCTTTACTCAAGTCATTCGAAGGTAAGAAAATTCGCTTGTTCAGCACCTCCAAGCTGTCTGCATCGACAGATGTCTGTTTACGTAAGATGAAATTGCACAGTCACCTTCATTTTGCTTGGCAAGTTTTATAAACATCTTCCGCAGTAAACACTCGCGTAGACCACGGGGAATTCGGTTTTATATCCTCAATGGATAGTATTTTACGTCCCGTGGCTTTACCTCCCCTGGTCAAGAATACAGGTCTCAAGCTTTTGATACGGCAAAGGACTGTCTGTGAGTCTTCCAGGTGTGTTAGAGTCAACATTGAACCACAATTTCTATGGGTCCCCATAAAGTCTGGTGCACTGAAGATACTAACCAGTTGGCTATGCGGGAAGAATTCATAGCCTCTGGGCAGCAGTCCGTTTGACCTAATGACATGAAACAGTTGGAACTGTCTACAAAATTCATTCACTGCTGACGGGCCATACAAATACCCTAGGCCTGCTGGATTGCGTTCCCATTCCTCCACATCTGCGTCCGGTTCAGACCAGATCAGGTGCGTCGCGAGCAAGTTGGTTTCAATTTCAGTTGGTCTGGGGATCCATCGGGAGATGTATTCCTGAAGTGCTTTTGGTCCAGTGTAGCCAGAGTATATTAGGGTTGGTGAGATTCCACTGTGTGAGCAGAAGAAACGATTATCGATCAGAGCGGCTACAGGGAGACAATTGAATGTGTCCATCAACACACGCCACAAACGTGAACTAAACCGACGGTTGCATTCGGCATAGCACCCATACATTTTACCCAGCTGGTCACACTCATGATTGCCTCTAAGCAGAAAAATCTGACGAGGATATAGAAGCTTGTAAGCGAATAACAAAGCTAGTGTCTCGATGGATTTTTCCCCGCGGTTTACGAAATTTCCCAGAAACAAATACTGAGCGTTAGGCGGATGCCCGATTGCGTTCAGTACCTGTAGGAGTTGGGTGTAATGTCCGTGCACATCACCGACGATGTTTAAACTGGGATCCAGTGTCAATGGGAGACAGGATGGTTCTTTTAACAGTAATTCTTTCAACAAGGTGCACATGTCGGTCAATTCCATTTCGGCTATCTGTACTGGTTTTCCCTTGAGCACTTGAAATTCCGTCAGGCGTTGTACTAGTGCTTTCGACCGATTCAAGATAAGATTTCGCCTGGCTTTTGAAATCTGAGGTTCGATGGTCATTTTGCTTTCGGTCTTCTTCATCTTTTTATTGGTTTAGATGAGCAAGTGTAGGTCCGAGTAAAGCTTAAAACGATCACAACCTTAGACCCCTTGATTTGCCTGGTTCAAATACGATCGATCAGGGGTCACCTGACACAGTAGTAGAGTGCAGAGAATCCAGCAAGCAACCTGATTGGCTGACGTTCAACCAACTAGGAAGATGTGATCACCTACCTGGCGCTCGCATTTAGTAAAAGGTGTTTGATTGCTAAACTTACTGCCTTAGTGGCGGACGGCCGAAATTCTGCGAAAAAGTCTGTTTGTTAGGATAGTTTTTTGTGCCATACATTTCACTCATTGAAATGTCAGGTATTATAAACTCAGTGGCCAGTTAACTTGCTAACTGGGGCGTCAGTTAAATATTGATTGAACCTTTGTATAAAACCACCCTTAACTAAGTGTGTTACATAAAGGCCATTTCGTGTTTTGGTTAAAACGATGGTCAATATGCAGGTGAATAATTCTTCACCCAAATTATTGGCTTACCTGATGAGCCCCAAGTACGCTGGAACGGGTAATGGACTGGTGAATAGTTTTCAATAACCTTATATAAGTGGCTTTGGTCCGAGAAACTTATTCAGATTGCTTGCAGTTCTAGGTGAGACGGCTCAAGTGGCTAGAGTGCGAAGTTACTGATCGGAAGGTCCGTGGTTCGAACCCGACCTCTGCCTCTCGACTTCCCACGTCTAGGCTTGGGCAACCTGGCAGTAACCCAGCCCTTGGGCTTCCTTCGGGTGGCATGGCAGCTAAGCACTGAAGAGGTGTTACAGCTGAATGAATATCTTATTATCTTATCTTCCCCGGGTAGCCAGCTAATCAATCAGTTGGGCAGTTGGTTACCAGTAATGAGCACGACTGCAGCATTTTTTCCTCCAGTCTACCACCCATGCCAGGCAATGAGAGTTGTTCCTACGGAACTGACATGGTGACAAATTCAGAAGAATGAATAGCTACTCACAAGTAAAGAGGTCACTGCGAAACTTTTACCGGTGTCACTGTAATTGCACTCATATCGGTAAATAATATACGAAAAGATACGAGATGGCATTTTATTAGGCGACGTAGGATATTTTTTTTAAATACATAATCTAATAAGAGCCGCTGTTTGTCTCCGGACTGGAAAAGTACCTATTTTGTTTTAGTGCATTGTGACAGTGATTGTATCTTCAGAGCTAGCGTCTAAATTGAAACGGTTGCAACTGATGTAGAGATCAAATCAGCGAACGTTTGATATTCCATATGAACTACTTCCGATAAGCGTCAGCGTCCTTCGGGAAGAAACATCATGCGAGAAAATTTCTTAGTGAATCAGATGGCGGATCAATACATGTTACTAGAGCTCAATAAAACTCAGGAATTAGTGAGCAGTCTACTGACCTAGGAGTTGGTGGTTCGGTGGCCGGTCTAGTTTCTTCCATCCATGCTTGGGAAACTTATCAACAGTCAAGTCTGGGCTGCATGCACCAGAATAATGCAGTATCTAAACGATTCACTTTTGTGTTACAATGATCGCTCCCCCCTGATGGGTAGAAGCGAGTAACCGCCACCAATTCTGAAAAAACTAACCACAGAGACTAACGAATTCCTTCAGATTATTCTGCACCCTTCACATTTGGCACCCTTTGCAAATAAATGATTGCTGATCTCAAACTCCGTGGTTAATGTGTCGTTCCTCCATGATAATCTCTTCAGTTGTTCGTAAAAGTCTCATAGGCCACACGGGTCCGATATTTTGTACCATTTCGAAGTTTTCGCTTTGTTGGCTCGCAGCTTGTTTTTGTTTTAAATTAACTCACTGTACGTGACCTCAATAGTCTATTCCGCCTGCTCGCGCGAATTAATAATCTTTTTAAGCCACTAAAGATACATTTTAGCCACAGTTGACTGGAATTCGCTTTTTAAACGGGCAGAGGCTCTAATTTAGGTAAATGGCACACGTGTGAAATTTCAGTTGTCCTCCACTAACCTAGTTCCTGGAATTTTCCAGCATGTGGAATTCACAGTGTTTCAATTGCTCGCTTACTTGTGAACGAAGTCGTTAGCAAAATATAGGTTATATTTGGAAAATGCGGGCTGAGCGATTTATTTAGTTGTGCACTGGGTCCAATTCGTCCGCGGCTTCAGACGCTTGGAACTAACACTTGTGTTGATTCGGCCGCCAGAGATCATGCGCATTTCCGTATGAACACAGAAAAGTCAATCAATCTTGCAAGGTGGCGTCGAATCCAGTCGATAGCACGAACAAAACGATGAGAAGTGAGTTTGCCTTCTGTTCATTGTGGTTAATTGTTTTCGTGTGATTATGCACAGTCGTTTCTTGAGTACAATCAGCGCTTTTGAAACTCAATGTGCAAGGATGAAAGAGTAGGCGTCGTACCATCTGAGATATGCAGAATATGCAAACTGACCGAGGGATAAATTCGCCATGTGGCCCGAAGCAAGTGTATCTTCCACAAATAGCTCAGTGGCTAAATAACTGTCCAAAAACAGTATAGTCCTCTGACAGGTGATGCGAAGCACCGGTAGTTCTAGCGAACCACGGTGAAGGAATCTCCCACCGTCTTGGACCAAACCTGCTAAGTGGCCCACTAAACAAACTCCTTTTCTAAGACTTTTAATCCTCATCAAATTGATGCTGCGGTTTATATCACTCTTGATGGAACTGACCTCAATTCGTCTTGGTAAAACTAATCTGATGGGTCCATAACAGAGAGAGCGCTTGGAATACGAATGGTTCTTTGTAATGCACTACTCGTAAGGTTGCTGAAACTCCTCGACAGCCCACGACCGGTTTCGCACTTTTTGGAGCTCAGCAGGTAGGCGCAGTCCCGAGTTTCCGTCAACCTTATGTTTTACTTGAAACCGAAAATCGCACGAAATCAGCGAATATACAGTCATTTGCAAACTAATTTGGTTTTTTGAGAGACTCACCTGGAACCCAGCTGAATTCGCAGCTGCACATTCACTTACAGCACATTCAGTTGCCTGGAAACATCGAAACCGAGAGATTCAGCTGTGTTCCAGGTGAGTCTCTTGAAAAACCAAATTAGTTTGCAAATGGGTGTATATTCACTAAGAATAGTTCTTGTTAAAGTGCGGCAGTAGTGCATATCCCTGACGTGCCGGATGCACCGTTCACGTTTCGTACCGTGGCCACCAGCAGATCACAGCCAACCAGCACGGGGCTGACAAGTGGTTTGAACACATCTGTGAATCAGAGATTATTCCGTTCACTGGGTCAATACTTTGAGATTCTTTTCAACAATTCCTCCTTTGGTTGTGCATTGTTTTTAAATTTTCGGCTGACTCTATCGAATACTATGAATCAGATCGATTCAAAGAGTAAAATGCAGTCGAAGCCATTAGCATCTTTTACTACAATTTATTCAATTTTTCTGTTTGCTGTTCATGATCTACCAGAGTCGGTTTCCGGAGTCGAACATACTGCTGTAATTAAAAAAGTATACACATTCGCAAATTAAGTAACTCCTAACGGTAAACTCAGCTAGATTCCTTGTTTATGCTACTCGTCAAATTGACATAAAGGTCGTTTCGTGTTTCATTCGGGGCGATATTCCCGGTGTATTTTCCTCACAAAACACACCACTCATGGGGCTGGTAAAAACTCTTCGACAACCCACTATCGGCTTTGCCCTTATTGGACCCCTTCAGGTAGTCATAGTTCCCTCAGTTTGCGTCAAACTTTTGTTGTATTCGAGGCCAGATTGTGCAAATTTCGAGAACTACACTCACTTGGAAATTTACACGTTGTTGCACAGTGTTCTTGCAGAGGTTTTGGCAATTTTATTAGGGCTGCATTATGTCAAGAAATTCCACTGTAAACCCGGGTCAGATTGACTTGTGGTGAACTCGGAATCGCTGAAACATATACCGGTACACTGTTTACTGATCTGTACTGTTTCTGGCCGGTTTAGTCTAACAAGCTGTGTGTAAACATTCAAGATAGGATAGTTCATTCTCCGAAACGGTCATTCATACCAAACGTTATCATAAACTTTTCCAAACTTTTACGAAAATTGCATACGATGAGGAAATTTTTAAAAGGAGACTATTCAGTCAATTTGTAGAGCCGGGTCGATTGGAAAGTTCCTCCTGACATCTAGGTCGAAAGGCCATTCAAAGTCCTTCCGGGGAAAACTGATCGAATGACGGTATATTTACTCGGACAAGGTGTCATCGAATTCCATCCACTTCGTAGGTGGCCAGGTGTATACTATGCAGACCTTTGTGCATGCTACAATCAAAAAAACTGACCGGTTATTTTTTTATTTCAGCTTGCTGCACGTTTCTAGGTCCTAAATGGCATTGTATAAAATCAGTGTAACAGAATGAGCTGGTTGTAAGGGGGACGAAAGTTTAGAAAATCTAAGTGTCTCGACAACGGTCACCAAAATTTCAGAATGATTAACTCTGATGGATCGGTGGTGTGATCCAAACTGCTTTATGGATCAGAAATGTGGCTCCTACGCGTCTAGGATGTACGGAAGATATCAGTGTTTGATCATCGGTTTCTCCGAATAATTGGTCAGCTCTGGTGCGAACATCGAATTGGCAATGTTGAGGTTTGCCAGATGGTCTCAGAAAGAAGGCGAATTACTCCCGCTTCATAGGTTGCACTGGTTAGGACATGCCAGAGGACCACCTGCCTCACAGAGCTCTTTTCGCCCAGCCCTGTAGTGAGCCGAAGCGACCGAGAGGTGGACAGTGTATGACCTAGCAACGAAGTATGAAACACTAACCAGTAAACAGCCGGGTGGGCAACTGTCGCCTCCCTGGATGGGTACCCCAGGATTCAACTCACCAGTGGTTAATGACACTGGCAGAAATGACCCCAATCGCGCATCGGTGGCGCTCATGCATCAAAGCTACTGCGTAGCCACCCAATTTCTGAACAAATCGAAAATGGCTTCGCCTTTAAGATTTTGTTTTATGTTCCACTTTCCCACTTCCCGGTGATCGAA